TAACACACTGGTTTTTAACCTAGGAAGGAATAAAAAAAATCAGTGGGATATGTAGATGTAGAATTTTGGATACCGAAAATGGAAAGCTCAAAAGAGGGTGTGACTGAACTGAGATGAAACTCGTCAAACTGGGAAACTGTATATTTGTTTGACTTTTATTAGGTTTTGTTTTCCTTGATAATTCTACTCTCCTTGAATACGGTGATGGATTAGAGCATTGTTTTTGCAAGGCTTGAAGCTGTGTTTGTGAGGCTTTAGCAGAGACATGAAGAGTCCATCAGTTCTGAGTCTCCTTGCCAAAGTGAAGTCTGTCATTGCTTCTGAATGACTCTGTGTACACAAGCAACAACATAGGCAAGAATGTACATTTCTTCACCTGACACAACAGATAAAAGTAGAACGGCTTTTAATAAAAGCATTTTCAAACCCAAGAAAAAAGGTTTCTAGTTTTGTGCTAAAACACTAGTTGGGATACACCAGGATTGTCAGTGAGGATGGATTATAGTGGCAAAAAATGTGATTATGGAGGTAGGAGGAAAGAAGTCAGCAGTCTGTTTTTCAACATGTACAGTTTTAATCTAGTGTTCCTAGTGAGATTTAATTTTTTCTACCATGCCTGCTTTTTTTCCACCATGGTGTCTTCCAAAGGGTTTAACTAAAAAACAGTGATCCAACAACCATCTAGGTGCTGGGAAAATGTGTTAAGTAACTGAAATTGTAAAAGAGGTGATGAATTGATGGAGTGCCAGGTCCCTGTGTGGCAGTTCCATTGCCAAAGAAAGGTGTCAGCATTGGACACCTTTCGAGAAGAAGACAACCAGTCTGTGTTCATCATACTCAAAATGACTTTAGTGCAGATCGGATTCAGTGCTTTTTTTTCCTCTAAGTTTGGTAACTATATTACCAAATTTAATCTTTAATCATTTAATACTTGTGGAGGAGAAAGAAAAGGGCTTTACTGACGACAAAACAGTGAAAAAGTAAAGGGTCCAGATGTAGGGTGAGGTTTTTTCAGCTTTCTACCTGTCATGATCTGAGATTCAACCAGTGTACTTTATATATATAAAAGTATATATTTCCTTAACATTTGCTTGGAAATGAAACCAGGTTGTCCTGTGACTTTCCACTGCCTCATCCCATTGAAGACTTAAATTCTATCTCATTCAGAAATCATGTGAAGTAGAGAGAAGACAATAGGTTGTCACTGGGATACATGACTTAATCAATTACAGTGATGCTATAAAAACAGAATCATAGAATCACAAGATTGTTGAATTTTGTTGGGACTGCTGGAGATTGTCTAGTGCAATCCCCCCTGGTCAAAGCAGTGCCCACTAGAGCAGGTTTCTCAGGACCATGTCTAGTTGGGTTTTGAATATCTCCAAGGATGGAGGCTTCACAGCTTCTCTGGGGCAACCTCTTCCAGTGTTTGACCACTGGCACAGTAAAAAGGGGGTTTTTTATGTCTAAATGGAATTTTCTATAATTGTTTCTGATCGGTGCTTTTTGTCCTGTCATTGGGCAACAGTGGCAAAGAATTTGGCTCCATATTCATTACACCCTTCCACCAGGCATTCTGAGTAAAGTCTCTTGACCTGCTGGTGATGCACTTCCTGATGCAGCCCAGGATGCTGTTGGCCTTCCTGTGTACAAAGGCTCATTGCTGGTTCATGTTCAAGTTGTTCTTCATCAGGATCCACAGGTCCTTTTCTGCAAAACTGCTTTCTAGACTGTGAACTCCGTGGGATCCTGATTAACCCATTTCTACAGCCTCTTGAGGTCCCTCTGAATCACTTACCTGATGTATCAAGCACTCCTCAGGGTTTTGGATTGCCTGCCATCTTGCTGAGGTTGCACTCAGTCCTGTCACCCAGGTCACTGATGGAGGTGTTGGGCAGCATTTGCCCCTGGGGTGCCCCAGTAGTGACTGGCCCCCAGCTGCTCCTTTGTGCCACTCACCAAAGGCCTTTGAACCCAGCAGTTCAGCCAGGTTTCAGTCCACCTCACTGTCCACTTATCTAACTTGCACTTCATCAGCTTCTCTGAGGCTTTTATGAGCGATTGTTTTGAAAGCCTTGCTTTCAAGGTAAACAACATCTGCTGCTCTCCCCACGTCCACAGAGCTGGTCACTGCGTGGCAGGAGGCTGTCGTTGGTTAAGCACGATTTCCCCTTTCTAAATTTGTGCTGACTACCCCAGGTCATCTACTTGATTTTAATATGTTTGCAGATGTTTTCTAGGATTATTTACTCCATCATCTTCCTGGGAACTGAGGAGAGGCTGATTGCCCTGCAGTGCTCTGCATCTTCTTTCTTGCCCTCATAGAAGAAAGGAGTGACAGTTGCTTTCTTCCAGCATTCAGAAATCTCCCCTGATCATCACAGCCTTTCAAACATACTTGAAACTGGGACCTTGACTTCATCTCTCCTTCTATCGACCGGGGCCTCTTTAAATTAATTCTCGATTATGGTGTTGGTTTTTACACATTTTTAATATTTTTTTTTAATAATGCTAGAGTCTTCTTGTTAATCATCTACTAGAATAGCTTAATGGTTTTTTCCCCCCTCACTCCGAAACAATGCAGAGAAGTATTAATAGTTAACTTTCATAACCAGATTTTCCATCACAGTGTTTCAAGTATATTCCTATTTGTCTGTTGGAGCATGATTTTTCAGAGAGAACACTTTTGTTTCTCTGTAACTTCTAGCAAGATATGAATGTCCTTTTCTAAGAAATAAGGGATAACTGTCAGATCTCAAATTGGATCTGTGAAGGTTTTTCCATAAATATTTGAAATAAATACTTAAAAGCAAAAATAGAGGCTGTATTATTATGTAGTCCAAGGTGCTAATGTATCAAAGCCACATTAGTTTTCTAAGTTTGATACAATAAAACAGTCACCTGACTCAAGCAAAGCAAAGCTTCCTATTTGGAAGGCTCTTGTGAAATTGTCTCCATATTTCTTTGTTCTTTTAAATATCTAGAGTAAATTTATCTCATCAAATTTGATGATCTAAATCTTAAAATACGTCACCTCCAAAGGAGTCTTAGGACAACTTGTAAGTATGTGTCTTATACAGATAGATTGAACTGCCCACTGGAGATTCCTGTCCTTGTCTGCTGGCTGTAGAGGGATTCTAGACAGATAGTTTAGACCAACCACTTGCCTGAAGACATCCAAAATTAGATGAGAGGAATGTGATAAGCTATTCCAGTAGCTTAAAGTTGAGCATTACAACTTTCATGTTTCTTGAGCTACCTCTTTTCTGCAGATTTATTCAAATTATGAGTTGTTAACTAATTTACAAGTGAAAGGACACTTTGCACTTGCAATTACTAGTGTTTTTCAGAATTATTAGTAACACTTTTAAAATTGCATTGGAAGCAGACTTTGTACATATGCTCTCAATGAAAATAAGATAGCAAATATAGCAATTTATTTTTATGTTTTAGATAGATTTTGAAATACTTTTTTTTTTTCCACTTGGTTTACGATTTTGAAGCGAATGAGATAAGGAACAATAATCAGTGAGAGTAACTGTAAATAACTCTAACCTGTGCTGGAAGTTATCTGACAAAGTGCATGTCACAATACCAGCATAGGCCCCAGTGAAAAGTCCATACAGTTATCTCTACTGTCAGAATTATTCTATAAGTCAGAACTAAAATGTTGTGGGGTTTTTTTTAATATATGTGTAAAGTTAGGCTCCCATATTCATGTCCAGATACGTAATAAAGGACTTAATTTTCTGAACTTCTGAGGATCTACTGTGGCCACCAAAAACTGCATATTATTCATATGAACAAGCACTGATTCTCCCCAACTTATCGTTGGAAATCGATTGTTGCCAATAGGAATGTTAGTTTTGTGCATTTCCTATCGATGGACTGAGAGCAGTGTTCCTAGTTTTTTCCCATGCTGTGAAAATATTCTGAATATTATGTAGTAGTTTCCTATGTCTCTCTCTGTATGTGGCTGTGGCAGGTGTTCAACTTTAATACATTTAATTGTACATCTCTAAGGATGATACTAAGACTAGAAATGATAGTGTTCTGGTTTGGGAATTCTGTTCTTTTACTTCTGCTTTAAATTTCAATAGCTTTTGCTGTCTGATTACATTCTTCTTAAGTTTAAAATAACAGTTTTGCGTTCAAAGTTGCATAGAAAATGATCATTCTGATTTGGGAATTATATACCACTATTCCCACCCTCTGAATTCCCAGTATGACATACAATTAGTATGTTCATCTGATTCCTGAACCACTTGCAAATTAATTGCATGGAATCACAAAATCAGAGGTTGATATACATTAACTCTTGTTTCTGACCTTTCTAGATGAAGAGGCATAATGGCACAAAATAACAGAAGGGAGCTGTGCTGTGTCTCTTTCCTGCTTTACTGGGGGGGTGTGAACCCAGATCTTGAAAGAAAAATTTTCTGCTATTCCTGCTCCTGCATATTGGTTGATAAACATAGCTCTCACTTTTAATCTGGACTGATGTGCTGTAGTCAAGAAAGAGTTCCTTATTTATTTTATCATGCATTTCAAAAAAAGGGGGAATAGATATTAGAAAAATTCCTAGAGGCTGAAGAATACTCTGTTCCCTTAGCCTTGAGGCAGGATTCACATGTGTTCCTTTCTTGAAAGTAATGCACTGTATCTGAAAAAACACAGGTTAAAATAAGAAGAAAATTATTTTTATTGGATTAATAATTATCTTCCATGTTGTATCCAGAGATTAGGATTTGGAAAGGCTGCTGATGAGAAATTGTTCTTAGGAGCTTCCAATTTTCAAGGAAGAGCGAATATTCAAAAGTGACTGTAGATGCAGAGTGTGAAGATTCCTTTGGAAGGCGAAGTGTTTAATCTTATTTATTGTATGGGAAAAACTTGTTGGCATTAATATCACTAATGTTCTTATGGTGGTTTTAAACTGTTCAAAAACATGCTTTCATAAAGTTTCACTTACTAAGCATTTTTATTTTTCTTATTTGTAGAACATTCAAGGTATCTCTAAACATCCAGTTAGAATTACAAAGAAACAGTATATAAAAGGTAAAATGTGGGGTTTTTTTAATGAGTTATATTATATTTCAAAGCAGGCAAATAGCTCCAGCATTAATGAACAGAATAGATGATTGATGCTTAGTTATACATTATCATTTAAACTGATTACTTCTGCTGGTTGTTTCTGAAAACAAATTTGCTCTTTCAACATTGATCTAAATAGTTACAAACTTTTAGATTTTTTTTTTCTTTCCTTCAGCTGCCTCACTGTTTCTTTTTCCAGATGAGTTATGCATCTTAAATCCCTTAAATATCCTAGGGATGATTTTGTGTGCATTCAGCTCATGAGGCTTTGCTTGAGGAGATGTTAAACCCAAGCCATTTTGTACAACTGAACACCAGTAGTTAGTCAGGTGTGTTGTTTTTGTTAACAGAGGCAAATTTAAGGCAGACAATTCAGAGAGAATCAAAGTAAAGTCTAGAAAAGCATGAGCCAAAGTGATAGAGAGAGAAACCCACAATAGCAGATTCAAGTATAAGAGAGGTATTTTGGAACATAAACTCTCCTTGAACGCCTGCAGCCACAGCTGGGCAATGCTGCTCATTGTGGTGCTTGGTTCTCAGCTAAGGGCAGGCTTTGCCTTTTCACAGCTATTCAGTTCCTGCTTTGGAAATAACACAGATCATAAAACAGGAGGCTAGGGAAGATGATGTAAAATTTTGACTTTAGCTTCATTTTATCCACGTGGTTCATTTTTATAAGCATTTTTTTAAAGTTATTATAAAAACTGTATGAGCAGTGGCTGTATAAACCTGAGGTGCCAGAAATAGCTGTGGCACATGAAACTTCCTGGAAATTTTGTTGATGAACCTATATAATATGTACTTCTCAAAGATGCAGTTTCTAAGTTTTTCCCGTATCGAGACACACTTATTTTTTCCACTTTTATGTTGACTAGATTGGTTCTGTGACATTTCAAACTACCATCCTTCTCTACACCAAATCAAGTGGTATTCCCAGGATGCCCTCAGTTTCTAGTACCTTATCAATGTACATTATGGCTTCATGATATTATTGGGGATTTCTATCATTACAATCTGGATGCCTGTGACAGCTGTATGTTCTCAGTATCATATGCCCCTACCACCTGTAACTCAGAATTTGATTATTAACAGGTTGCTGCAGCATGTTCAAAGATAAGAAAATACATTTTTTTAAGTTCATTTTTATAGACCCTTCTTTATGAATGCCTCCTTTATTAAGTGATCCATGAATAATGTTAGTTATTGCAGATATTTGTTACCTCGTGTTTCGGGAAGGGTTTAGATTTGATAAAGGAAGTGAACAGTACTGCGAGGATGAGTATGGTGGAGATAAAGTTGTACATGACTGACATACAGAAATAATTGTGATGCTGGCAGTTTTTACTCTGCAAGGTTGCTTGCACTGCCATTTCTGTGGTGTTAGTTGTGTGTTTGGTAAGTCATTTGCAAACTCCTATGGTTTTCAACACAGTATTTTTGGACTGGTGTTTGGTATCTAAATGCCTGTCTCTTCTCTAGGAAAAGAAGAGGACATAGTAACTATTTCCCCAAGAACGTTGTTTGTTTCAAAAAAAGGATGTACATTTTTAGCAGCAGGTGAGATAGTCTGTGTCATTGTTCTCATGCATATTAGTATTTGCAGTTCTGTCATTTCTTTTTCTCCTCTCCTTTGGGTGACATATTTTACAAGGTTGTCAAATCCCTTAGTATCAATTAATGTTGTTATATGATGTGTACTCCTTACTATGCTTCAGAACTGGATGATATTTAAGCCTTGTCAGTAGAAACAAAGAGCTAATAAGATTAATTGGCACATGAAGATAATGAAGGAATCAGGCACTTTGTGATCCATAGCTGGAATGTAACTTCTTAAGGATGAGCTTCTCACAGGCATTTGTCTTTTTTGAACATGAGGAAATGATTGAACACTCCAGACTTATGTTTTAATTTGTGATGGTTTGGTTAAAATGCAGGTATGATTTTATTTTAGAGCGATAGATTCATTTTAACACTCTGTTTTCTAGATTTTTCTCATATTGAGTTAAGGATCCTTGCTGACTTGTCGTCTGAACCAGAACTTTTGAAACTGTTCCAAGAACCTGAAATCACTGATATATTTTCCACATTGGCTTCTCAGTGGTAAGAATAAATGTTGCATATTTTAATAGTAATTACACAAAATAGTAAGTATAACCTGAACTATTGTATTACTGTGTAATATCAAAAGACTGTATTTTGCTACAGTATCTATTTCATTATCTATGGATGACTTGGAAAAAGTGTTAGTCCAGGAATTTTAAAAAAAAATAATTCTTATCTCCATAGTCAGATTATTCTTTACTGATTTCTTCAACATTCAGATCAAAAGACTAACTATCAAAAAAAAAAGATGGACTATTAGTTACTTAGTTGTTGAAGGTGTTTCTTATTGTTGTTCATATGATGATGATGATGCCTAAAAATCTCACTTGAGACTGGGACCCCCCTTGTGCTCAAAAGCTCCTGAGCATTCAATAAGTGACAGGATAGATGTCCAGTTTGAACAGGTCAGAAAAAGATTGAATAAAATGCTGTAACATAAAGCTGTCTGAACAGAGTGAAGTCATGTAAATGTCATTCAATGTTCTTATTTTCTCTTTGTTTCCCTATCTTATCTTTTTATCTCCATTTTTTGTGGGAAGATTGTTAGCTGAAAATGAAAGCAAAAATAGATATTATTGATTTAGCTCAGTTCTTATCCTACAGTTTCTAAATAGCAGACATAGCCTTCCCAACCACAGTATTTCCTACCCACTTAAGTAGTTCAAAGAATCTTAGAATCCTAGAATGGCTTGTGTTGGGACATTGAAGACCATCTAGTTTCAAGGCCCTACCATGGGCAGAGACACCTTCCACTGGACCAGGTTGCTCAAAACCCCATCCAACGTGGCCTTGAACACTTCCAGGGATGGGACATATTTTCTAATACGCTCTGAAGTCATGCAAAGAAACAAAATGGAGCTCAAATTATAATTATCCTGCTACCAACAACCGAATCAGTGCTTGAGGCATGTTGTGTTCTGGGAGAACACGACTCAAGACCACAAACGTTCCAACAAACATAGCTATGGAAAGATCACCTTTATTTTGGAGTTGCTTATAGAAGCTTCTATTGATCCTATAATAAATTCTTAGCTCTAGATGATATCACTGGAACCTCGTGATGGGGTTAAATCCTTATTTTAGTTTGGTGGTTTATTGGAAATGTATGCATGAAGATGAGTCAAATTTTGTCTCAACTCTGGGCACGGCTCCAGAAATACCATTCTATTCAGCAATCTCACAGCTCTTGGCAGCTGACAACCTCTTACAGTTGCTGCATGGTAACTTTAAATTTAATGAAATATTACAGGCAAATATTTTTATCAGACAGAATTGTCATGGTGTGTCTACAAAATCATTACATAATGATTCTACTGTCTCTTCTCTTAAGCTTCAGGAAAGCTAATACTTGGAAGAAACTCTTTTGTTGGATCTATTATATGACTGTTACTAATCACAGAAACATGAAGGATGTGTTTAATCTCACCTAAACCTGGACATTTGTCATGTACTTGGAGAGATTCATTTGACCTGTTGTTGATGTCCCCTGTGTAGTAAGATCGATTGCACCTTAAAAGTGACTTCTCACCATTGAGGACAAAGTAGATTTGGGGTGGGCAGCTCAAATGTAGGAGTCCGTGTTTGTTCTGACAAATTGAATTCCTCCTATTGGATCAGCTCCTAGTGAATTCACCTTGGAGTTTTGCATTTTGGACAGAAATCTGAACCACACTACAGAATCCAGCCAAGTTTTATACCAGTTTATTCACTTTTTCTTTTAAGCTTCATGGCTTCTCCACTAAAATGTAACTCCATTCCTTAGCTGCCTTCAGGTTAAAGCCTTCTATCTGAAATCCAACCTTTTGAAAAACCTTTACAGGCTTTTTATAGCATTTGGCAACGAATACACATGGTGAGCAGTTTCTGCAAAGAGGTGAGCTCTGTGAGTTTCTGATTGAATTAAGATCTCTTATGTATAAAAGCTTTCCTTTCATAATTTGGTTAGGCATGCTGTTCTGTGATTCAGCCTGTCCCTGGGACCTTAGAGGTGCATCCCTCTTGGAAACCTGTTGGATCCACGTTTCTATGAAACATCATTCATATGGAATCTTTACGCTGGTCAACAGTGCAGGGTAGAGGTGCATAAGGATGTGTCAGCCCAGATATGTCTGTAAAGTGTATGCCTATACTTTATAGGAAAAGGCTGAGTGGAGGTACTAACATTCATGCTAAAATTCAGTGTCATGTGCAACACCACACCCAACCCATTACCCCAGCTGAGATGCAGCCTCTCCACAAGGCTGTGCTGGGATCTTGTGCTCCTGTGGAGAGCTCACAGGGACAGCTCGTTTCAGGAGTGACACAACCTCCACCACTCTGGGCTTCCCTGCACTGTGCTTGTCTGTTTGCTGTAGACACCTTTTTAAGTATTGTGTGTTCTCTTTGGCAGAACTGTCTTGAAATTGCTGTTCAGATAAAACCCTCAGAAGCTGCAGTTGACTACCACAGGAGCACAGAATGGTTTGAGTTGGACAGGACCTTTAAAGATCATCTACTGCACCCCCCGGCCATGGACAGGGGCATCTTGCACTTGACCAGATTGCTCATCTCTGCCTTGTACAGCCAATATATTTTCTGGTCATCTAATGTAGTTACCCCAGCTAAAACTATGATATAAATAGATTTTAATGTTCTCTCTTACATGCTTAGTACTGTTCCTACTGTTCTCCTGTCTCTGTGATGATGATCATGAGGTATTACCACAATTATCTTACAGTGATTATTCTGTTATGGCTTATGAATAGAAACCCTTACAAGACAGGTCAGCATCTGCTATTACAAGAAGGCGAAGAACCCTTTATGTTAATGACATACTTGCTACTGAACACATGGCAGAGTTTCAAGGCTTGCCTAAACTTTTGAAAATTCATAATATAATGGATTCCAGCTACCTGCAAGATCACCTTGTGTTATATTGTCTTGATGCCCTGTGAGAGTTATACCCCTTTTAAATCCAAATCCATCCCAGTGCTAACGGTGACAAGAGCTGTCCTGGCAGCTGTCTGACCAACCAAGAGACCTAACTGCCACTACACATCCAAATGACAACAGATCTCAGCATGACATTGCTCTCACTTCTTTAATGTAGCTTTTACACAATAAATGAAAAATAAGTAATTGTATTTAAAATGCTGTTGATGGGCATATCTTAAAATCACTTTCAGAGATAGATGCTGAAAACAAAGTTTGCAGTCTTTTAGGTAGTCTGCGATTTATTTCTTAATTAGAGGTTCCATGATTACCAATCCCTTTCAAACTGTTCCTTTGTCACCCATCTCAGTAAGCTGTTGTTCCTCTATCACAGTATATGCTCATATTGACCATATTGGGTCAAAATCCAGGAGAAGTATCTTGATTTAGGTAAGCACTTAAGCACACCATAAATACGTGATTTCATCCTATTTAACTTATACCTACTTTTCTTCCTGAGTGCTTTTTTGAACTGGGCTAGTACTGCTTCAGAGTTCCTGTGACTCAAGCAGTAAGCTATACTTATAATATGTTGGCAGGGCCTTTCCTCTGTTTCTTTAGAATCTGTCTCAGAGAACTGGAGATCCCCAATAGTGACAAGTTCAGCTGCATTCAGCAGAGTACAGGGTCCTGAGGGCAGCCTGGCCTTACTAATGCAACTATATTTTATAGCCCTGAACTGACTTAGTCATTTTAATCTTGGAGATGTTGTCACTGTGTTCCAGTGTTTGCTACAGACATCTCTGATATCTGCAAATTATATTTATGTGCTATATTTTAGGTTATTGAACCTGCAATAGAACACAAACCCCAATGTTGGATTGCCAAGCTCTGTATTCAGTGCCAAAATGCGCATCTGAAAGGGTGAAAAAGGCTCTGTGCTGACCCCAGAGCCATCTAAGAGAAGTTAATGAAACATTTGAATCAAAGAAGTTTGCATTTGAGCTCCTCTTAGAAAGCTGGAACAGAATGACAAGGACACCAGTGGTCCAAACTCTATACCTGCTAGATAGGTAGTGTTCTTCGAAAAAAAATGAGCAGGACTCACTCTTTTCTAGTGGCTGTGGCCCAGCTTTTATTTTATAAGAACGGAGTGCTTGGAAACCTCGGTTCAACCTGTTAAATCTTAGAGTATTCAACTCTCTCCTCGCAGGAAAACACCAAGCAAGGCCAGACTTTGTATGTTGAAGCTGAGAGTCTGTTCAGCAAATATTGTGCAGTTGAAATAGTTGGATTTTTTCATTTGAGAAAAGATAAAATTTAGACAGGATAAACACATGATAAAAATCTTCAAATATATAGGAGGTTATTGCAGAGAGTTGGGTAGAGAGTTGGCTCACAGTGTTGTAAGAGATGTTTCAGTTAAGTCTTTTGAATATAAAGATGATAAATATGGAGATGCATTATCTATAAAGGCTGTGGAATTTCCATCACTGGAAGGAATGAGACAATTAGACAGATATTTCCAAGGATAGCTGAGGCAATTTCTCAGTCTCTCTCACAACTGTCTTTTATGAAACTGTGATTTTATTGCAGATTGCTTAGAACATTCAGTTGAAAAAGGGATTTCTTTATTTCAGTCCCACTGGGGAGATTATTAGTTTTTATTTAGTGATTGTTTAATTCTGTTTGTTAATAGTAGCTACAAGGACAAAATCAAATATTTATGACTTTCACCTGAGTACTCTAAATAGAATAGTGGGTACTTTCATGTTTGTTTTTCTTCTGAACTCAGGGGGTTTTTTGCTGTTTTAGAGTGGCTTGGGATTGATTGTTTTTGTGTTGGGGTTTTTGGTTTGGTTTGGTTTTTTTGCACAGTAGTCCTATTTCTGTGTGATCTTGGAGGATGCCAACTTACCTTGTGGTCTAGCAATTAGTGTGCTTTAATTCCATGTGACTGGGAGGCAGAGTTATGGATGTGAATCCCATCAGGTAAAGAGACAAGTGAGTTGCTGTCCCTCAGAGGCCAGGCAACAATTCCAGAGTGGCACCTTCTTCACCTTACACTAAGAAAAAGTCAACAAATT